AGTTCTCTTTTTCTTTTTTCTTTTTATTTGGATGTGGGTTTATTCAATTTTCAAGAAGGAACTTGAGGTTGATAGAAGCTGAAGCTGTTGAACTTAGCCGTCATTGTCTACATATTGTTTAAGCTGGGATTTTGATTATGCTAGTTAGCAAGTATTTTAGAAATAATGTTTAGCAAAGCAGAGAAAATCAACCAAACAATGGACTGGAGCAAATTAGTTTCAGGTATGGAATAATGGAATAAAAAAGAAAAACCAAGTTCAATGCAGTGGATGAAAATAAGAATGATTTAACTAGAAGTTTACTTGTCAAAGCAAGGATTGTTTGAAAGATGGGGGAGTGATTATGGCTATTTTGTGCAAATACTAAATAGTTAGTTGTTATCATTAGATGGCTTGATGCATCAGTGACTTTGTCGAGGCTTATTGTTTGTTTATCAAAAATGGTGCAGTTTCGGAATAAAAGAATAATGGCAGGATCTCCTTTTGATGCGCAAAGGGCAGAACCATCTCAACAGCAGTCAACTGCAACACCACCACTAGACCCACAGCGAGCTGAGTTGTCTCGGCAGCATGTGAAGGCTCTCAACACCCAATTTGCAAGGTCCTATCTCTCTATCTATTTTATTGCGTGATGTTTGAACAACTTACTTCTGCTTTACATGTTTGGTAAAGATTAAGTGATGGTGTTCTTGTGCTACTCATAGAGCATGTCTGGTGTACTTAATATTCTTTTGAGCTTTCTGTATTGATATCTTACCAGTCCTTAGAAAAGTTAAATTTCTTGCTTGTGTTGTTCTTGGACCTTATTAAACTTATAAATTTGTACTTATTTCTCCATAACAATATTTTATTTTAACAGTTGGGTGCAATCACAACTGAAGAATCACCCTGATGAGCTTTGGGAAGATGGTGTTCAGGACTACCTAACTTATGCTTCAAACATTATGGTAATTTCTGATGATTTTTCCTTTCACTTGAGGAAAATCAAAATGTTTTATTTGACTTTGTTTTGTGGCTCATGCTACTTTTCTTTATCTTATAGAACATCCTTTCTGTAATTCATTGATTTTGTTAACCCCTTGCAGAAGAATTTAACGCAGTTTCTTCATGTTATTTCTCGATAAGAGTCAAATTAATGCTAGTTCTCATGCATGACTCATATATCAGTAGTTTGCTATCGGGAATTACTTGCTCATGCCATGTACCTTTTAGATGACAAAGAATCAGAGGTATTTAAAAATATATCATTCTTCTAGGACGTTTATTAACAGACTATATATGCATATTTTGAAATTCTCCTACCCATCATTTAACCATGAATCGATGGGTTAACTTGGCATATATTGCAAATAACCCTTGTTTCGGTAACTAGGACTTGTAATAATGTTTAAATTCACTAGACCACTTAAATGCAAGATGTAATTGTTTTTGTTTGCTGACTTGAATGGTATTCTCGATTCCTCTTTGCAGGAGAAGTTCAGTGATGTTGTCAACTGGCTCAAAGCAAATGCTGTAAATAGTGACAGCTTGTCTGTTCCTGAATCTCAAAAAAGTGGAAGTAAAGTGGTGCCTGAAACTAAGAATACTGAGAATAAATTTTTTCAAGTAAAAACTGGATTCACTCCAAGCAGCACAACTACAGGCTTTAGTCTAGGCACTACAACCCCGAGCTTTTCTCTAGGCACTACAACCATGAGCTTTTCTCCCGGCACCACGACCGTGAGCTTTTCTTCAGGTACTATGGCTACAAGTCCTACTCCAGCTGATATGAATAAAATATTTTCTCCCGTGTATACAAGTACAAGCTTCACCTCAGCTAGTTCAACTACAAGCTTCACTCCAGCTGGTATGACTACGAGCTTTATGTCAGCTGGTTCAAATTCGAGCTTTACATTTGGCAGTACAGCCACAAGTTCTACTTCAGCCGGTCCAACAACTAGCTTCACCTCATCTGGCATGACCACAAGCTTTACAGCTCCTTGGAGCTCTGGAATATTCTCCAATAGTCAGACTCCTGTCTTGTTTGGTAGGTGTTGAATTGACTTTCTATGACAAATCTGACTAAGGATTTGAGTTGTGTCATTGGACATTATTTGCTTGAAAATATTAAGACAATTTGCCCATGCCTTTTAAAAAGGACAAAGGTTTTAAGTGGCAAGCTCGATTGAAGGCAAGAATTTGGATGCTATTCATGTTAGTTTTGTCAGATTGATTCTAATTCTGCGTCCTATTTTGGCCTTTCCAGGAAGTCAAAGCTCAGTTGCTGTGAACAACAATGCATCAGATGACGCAGATGATGGTGCGAAAATGAAACTTTACCCTTTAATCCTTATTTACTAGATATTATTTTTGTTTTAAACCATTACTTCAATAAAGTCAACCTTATCCTGCAACTTTTTGCTTTTCATCTCGAGGTTATTTCTGTTTCTTGGTTTTAAGTAGATAGGTTAACTCTCTCTCTCTTTTGTCTCTCAACTTTTTAGTTTTCTTTTCATATTTCTCATTACTTGCATGGTAATGTGTCATTTTGGATTGTCAGAAAATGAGTTACCTCAGCCTAGCAGCCCATCGGTGAAGAAGTCAGAGGAGAAGGGTATTGTTGTTGTTCATGAAGTCAAATGCAAGCTTTATGTCAAGGTATATCCTCAGAAATTATAGATCTGCCTACTCTTGACTTGAGACATGTTGTTTGATCTGACCTTCTCTTGTGTAATCTCTTTCCCTCCCTTTTGTTATACCAGTCAACTGATCCAGCAGATAAAGATTCATGGAAAGATAAAGGCACAGGGCAGCTTTCCATTAAGTGCAAAGAGGGTATTAGCAAGGGTTCAGCAGATTCCAAACCAACAATTGTTGTTCGGAATGACGTATGTTTCTTCATGTGCATGTATTGGTTTTAGAAATATGATTCATGCATAAGCTGTTGTTTAGTTAGCAGATATAAGATAGTTCACTTTTACAACTGCCTGACAAAAAGTCCCTTTTTTTAACTAGCTTTAACTTCCATAACCATCTTCTGCTGGCAGGTGGGAAAGGTGTTACTTAATGCTTTGCTATATCCAGGGATCAAGACAAGTGCACAAAAGAATTCCCTTGTTGCAATATTTCATACTTCGGTAATATATTTGGAAGCCAAATATTTGGATATTATTGGTATTTTATGCTGTTCTGATCAAGTATCAAACTCTATCATGTTATTTTTATTTTCTGATCACGAATATTACTTAGCAATAGCTTAGCTTCTGGCCAAAGCAGCAGCTGGAATTTCTTATGTTATCCCCTATTAGAGCACTCACTAGTTGAGGTTGTTGCTTTAGGTTTGTCTATCGAACTACAACTGTGGTGCTTTGGTTTTTGAACAAGTCAAAGATGTCATTATCCCCTTTATCCTCAATTCTTGTGGATTATCATATATGAAGTCATTCATTTGAAATACAAGCATAATATTAGAGGTCAACATGTACATATACTTTTTATTTAGGGCATCCAGAGGAAAGCGTTTGATATAGGAAATTGACATGTATTTCTACCATAAACTGTTGAAAGTAACATCAGGACCAATTGCCTGGTGCAATGCTTACACATGAGCTTACAAGCACTAGATACAAGTTCAAATCTTGAGAACAACCACTTTTAGAAAATTGCTAGAGAACAACACCATTTCCAATTTATACTGCAGGACCCAATTTGGTGGGATCATATGTGGGGATGACCTCAGAAGGTTGCGAGTAGTAATAAATGTGTATAAAGAGCTAAGCAGGCTGCAATCGTGTAGTAAACCCTTACTGATTTGGAGTTTGGATGTGGAATTGATGAGAAATATATTGGTAGTTAGAATCTTTGAAAAAAAGATATGCTGATCCAGGTATGACAAGTCTTTTTGGCATAAACCTGTCTGACATACCAGGATTAGCTTTCAAAATTTTTCTTGCAGCATTTGACCATGTTTGTATTATGTTTTATGTTGTTAATTTTTAAAAACAGTGATTTCTCTTGGATTTTGTAGGATGATGGTGGCAATAATGATAATGTTGTGGCACGTACCTTCTTAATTAGAACAAAATCAGAGGATGACCGAAACAAACTGGCTACAGCAATTCAAGAATATGCGCCTGCATTGTAAAGTAACTATAGGTGACATCATTTATTCCATCATCTTGAGCCCCAGCAAATATAATGTAATCCTGAATGAGTGCAATTTTCCTGGATATTATTCCTTCACATTATGCCAGGGTCGGCAATTCTAGGGACTAGCCCAGCTTGTTCTGGCGGCTCTAAAAGCAAGGGGGCCTATTTTCATAATCAGACTTGATGAGATTATTGTATGCCCACAGCAGTTTTACCATAAACAGAGATTACAGTTATTACCTTATGCTGAAAAATTATGGGGAACTGTTTCTGTGATTCCTATTAAATCTTTTGGATGCCCGTTTCAAGCCAGGTGCTGATGGCTCACTACTGAAACGAATTTTGTTCCAAGATTATTTTTTTGGAAGTCACTTGTCTACAAAATTTTCGTTTATGTGTTCATCATGCCAACTGCCTCTGTTTAACTTGCTCGTACAGTGATGTAAATGGTAGTGCTTAAGAGTTAAGAAGGAAGCTAAGAATACTAGTAAATTTGTATTTTAGTTTCATTTCCTGTTGGTTTGGGTTGCTCTCGGTCTTCCCAAGGGATGACTGGATTGCAATCACCTTCAGCGGCACGTTATTTTATTAAACTATTTCTTTCCATGACCAAACGATGAGGAATCTCTGCTGTTGGCCTCAGCTTGGAATTCAGGAGTGAATAGACTTTTTTTGATTTAGTAACGCAAGCCCTTGGCTGTAGGGTTCCGTGTCTCCTTCTACTTAACGCTCTAGATGTCGGTAGTTAAGGATAAGTCACTGAACCTCGCGTTTGTAGTCCAACGGTTAGGATAATTGCCTTCCAAGCAATAGACCCGGGTTCGACTCCCGGCAAACGCAATCTTTTTACCAGAAAAGAGGCTAACTGTTAGTTAGTGAAAACAGTTCTCTCAAAATGTATTGATGGTGGAAAGCAGCATTTTTCCAAGTATTTTCATCGGAAATTACAATTTACAAACAATAAGGGATCAAAAATGTTTCTCCCAAGTTACAGGGCAGCTTGTTAGAGGATGAATAAGAAGTTGTACCCTATTACATCGCCTGACTCTGAACATAATGCCAATTTCAATCTTCAAATTCAGAAAAGCATCATCACTCAAACACCAACATGAAATTAAGCCAACAGATCCCTTTTTACCAAAGCTCAGCTCCTCAGATTTGATATACATATCTCACATCTGCATCTATGTTCCCGGATGTGTCACGTCTGCTATTTCTGTTCCAGTCAATATCAGTGTATATAGTTGTTCCCCTTTTGCTCAAACCTTGTATCAACACTTCTAGCATACGAGGGATAATCTAAGTGATGGCGCGGTAGGAATATGAGTGCAGGATGCCCAACGGATTACTGACTCAGTCACCACAAGGTCAAAGTGATCAACCTCACCAAGACCAATAGTGTGATTCCTTTTACTATGAATGCCTGCAAGGCGAGATCCATTGGGTCCTCCCCGGCGAATTTCTGTCTTTTGTTCCACTTCTCCTGCCCTGTGTTCCACTGCAACTGAAGTATCCGGCAACATAAATAGCTTTACTAAGTTTGATTCTGCAGAGTGAGAGAAAGAAGTCAGCATAATGTTCTGATTCCCCATTAATCCACTTTTGGCATTCTCCAATTAATTATGAGAAGTAGCCACTAGTATCAAGTTCCATAAGCCATTTTTCCTTGTTCAGTTTTTCAAGAAAAAAAAGGAAGATAGCAGCCTCTAGCCAAGAATAAAATGAAAACAAATACCTCCATATTCTTTGCCCATCTTTGATGTCTCAGCTTTAGCTTCCAAAGAAATTTTTAGTGGTACAACGGCAGCAGTTGGACTGAAGAATGTAAAGCTTGGCATTGATGGAATTGTGGATGAAAATTCTGCTGCACTCGATTGACAGCAGCTGCTAAATGAAAAACCCACAGATTCAGAACAAGGACTTGCATTTTCAACTAAGAAAGAAGAAAAGGATGATTTGCAAGTGAACGCAGGTGTTCCCAGTTGGCCATTGGCAGACACAGGTGATCCATCACTAAAGCTATAATCCTGATTTCTTTTTATGAATGGCATGGCAAAAGAACCTCGTCCTACTTCGAGCTCTCTGCAATCAAGGTTGTGGTGTTTCAATGCTTCTTCAGCTACTTGTCTGCAATCCTCCACCCAGGGGTGAGCTGTGAAAGGCAGTGACTTCTATTAGAAGGTATAAATTGAAACAAACTCTTTCCGAAGGGCTAAAAGCCTAGTTTTGAAACCATGCTAAAAATTGAAAAGTATAGCATGCAACTTTCCTGCTTCTTAGGACTGTGACAAGAGGAAAAAGCTCCGTGGACTCTTGCGTTGCATTAACTAAATCCTAACAACGTCCTTAATTCTTTATTGATCAAACCATACTGTCATATTTGTTTGATGAACCTCCAAATTGAATATTTGATGACAAAAGTAGCTTCTAAACCATGCATCTGAAGTGCTTTCAACTTTCAAGTGATAGCCTAATGGTCTAAAGAGTGTGAACAGCATTCTTTTTCTTAATTAAAACATGGCAGTACTATGAACTAATTTGTTAAATAGCTTTTCAATTATTAAGCTAATTTTGTACCTTTTTAATTTCAGGAAACAAGCATACCACCAACTGGTTTACCTGGAAAATCATATTACTAGTTTCATAGCCTCTTATTAACTTGCAATGCAATTATGTGCACTCAGCACAGACAAAAATTTATACATCAACTTACCTAGAACCTTTGCTGCAGTGAGCCTCTTAGAAGGGTCTACACAAAGCATTCCAGTGATCAAATCCCTCGCAGATACAGAGATGTGATCCCAAAGATCAGTAGGGAATCTTAGTTCAGCAGCCCTAACAGCATCAAATATCTTTGATTTAGTCTTCCCCCCAAAAGGAGGCATCCCACTTAGAAGAATATACAAAATAACTCCTGCACTCCATACATCGGCAGCTTGATTATAACCCCCTGCCAAAACCTCTGGCGCTATATAAAATGGGCTACCAACAGTACCATGCAAACTTTGCCCTGTTGACATGAAACCAAAATTCTTTCATTAAAAATATCACAGACCAAATGTTGTCTTCGAGATGCCCTAAATGAAATAAAAGGAACAATAGAGACCTCACCCTGTTTTATATAGGTTGCAAGACCAAAATCTGCTAGTTTAATTGGAGATGACGAGGATTTAGTTGCTAAGAGAATATTTTCTGGTTTGAGATCTCTATGAACAATGCCATTATCGTGACAGTACTTGACCACTTCCATCAAATGCTTAAAAAGAACACGAGCCTCAAACTCAGAAAAACTCCCATATTTCTCAAGCCGGTGGAAAAGTTCCCCTCCTGCACATAACTCCATCACCAAGTGCACAAAGTCCTCATCTTCATAAACTGCCTTTAGATCCACAACATTTGGGTGCCCAGATAACCTAGTCATTATTTCAATCTCAAGCTTGATGCTGCAGAAATCATCTAGTGTGACCAACCTATCTTTAGCAATGGACTTGCAAGCCAAAACCTCACCGGTTAACTTGTCTGAGCATGCCCTAATCACACCAAATTGCCCCCATCCTAATTGCCCTCCAAGAACATACTGATCTCTCAAATTTGATATTTGAGTTGTGTCCATAATTGTCTTAGTAAGGCTCGCAACCTTGTAACAGTTGCAGAATTGGATTGAAGGAAGGCTAATGTTATCACTAGTGACAATTTCCATGCCACTGAGGGCGACTATAATTATAGAAAAACACCTGTCAAGACCTCACTAGCAACATCAAATGATATAGAACTACCATCTTTTCTTCTCAGCTTTGCAATCTAATCCACGAGTTGGCTGGATTCCTAGGTTAGAGATGAGATCAATTATGTGAGACAACACATTTACCAAACCCATGCAAAGAATCAACTTCTAACATGAGCTTCTCATGATATACAGTTAAACTCTTATCAGAGATAGCCTTGTTGATCTTCTTCATAAACTGAACAATTCCCACAGCAGAGTCGCAGAAGGCTTTGATCTTCCACAATGATCGCCTACAGCAAAAGCATGAATTTCTAAATCTCAGACAACTTGCTTAAACCCCAAGGTTCTGGTTTTTCCCTTTTTATTTTTTATCAACTCTTTTCTATAGTTTATTAATATTCCTCTTACTTAGTTGCCAAATACAGAGAATTCAATCACAAACCACTCTTCAAATGCTCTTTGCAGATCCATAACTTAATTTAAACTTAGCATAGAAAAGTAAACCTCCCAAAGCAAAACTCAACCATAACTCTAAAACCCAAAAACGTCAACCACACAACAGAACCCATGATTATTCATAACATAACAAAACTAAAGAAAACAACATACTTTACAAAACAACCGTACAACCCCATATCAAAACAGAATCACGAATTACCAAAAACACGAAATCCCAGCAAAATTTACATAAGAAAAAGACAAAAAGTTGAAAGTTTTTCAACTAAAGAAAACTAAAATGCATAAAAAGAACACACATTTTTCAATCCCAGAAAGAGAGAAGAGACTGACCAGCTTAGCAAATGCGTTGAACAAGTACATATGTTTTATGGGAAAGTCTTCAGTTTTTTCCAGGGTCCAAAAATCAGTCCTTGGTTTCTCTCTGGTTCAAACAAACATCTTCCAATGTGACCGGCAACCAAAGGAACCTGTTTTCATGTTCATGGTGTAATTATTTATCATTTTTATGCTTTGTTTTGTAGGGATATTAAGCATTACCCGATAATGTGCAGGATATAAAGGTGCACAATCACCACTTGAGTTTGCCACGTGTCCCATTCCATCTAGTTGGGGATGTGGGTCCCGCAAACCTTATGGTTTCATTTACCAGATTACCCTCCACAGGGATATGTGCAATGATGATTAACTCCCACGCCAACCAGCAAGTGGAGACAGCATTACCCTATTTTTTTAATCCAAGGAAACTTCTCTACGTTATTTTAGATCCTTCCTCGTGGTATTTATGTATTGTTTATTTATTTATTTATTTCCAAGTATTATTTCAGTAGAATAGGACCCATAACTATACATGACAGTCCTCATTAGATCGCGGGACCCAGAAAGCAGATGGGCCAGATTATCTGCGGAGGTGATGATGTGGGCCCCAATGACTAGCTGCCACGTGGGTTGATATAAATGGTCCTTGAGGAGTTCAAAAACTTTGCAATGTGCAGAAAGAGAAGTAGGGAGAGTCGGAAGTTCTTTATCAAGCTTTGGTAGGAGAAAAAGGAGGCAAAATTTCCCAGCTGTGATTCGTACTCTGATTAGCTGTATACAAATACAAGTACGGGAATTCCGTGTATTATTTTTGGCCTTTTAAAAATGTTATACTTATGTGGCATTGCAACCAGCCAGCCCACTGACACAATAGCTCAGATCTTTTCCTTTTTTTTATTATTTTATATTTTCTACTAATTTAATAACTATTTTTTAGAAAGAAAGACACATCGCGTTATTATGTAATTTTAATCATGATGTTAGTATTGAATATATTATTTAAATATTTATGATACTTAAACGTGTAAACACGTATATAGATAATTGAGATCCAACGATTATCATGTATTTTGTTAACAATTGAGATCTTGATGTGTCAAATTATAATTAATCATTTTTAAAATTATAAAAGAATAAATCTCTTCATAAAGAGGAAAAAACAAAACTATATCCTCAAAAGTAGTGGGGCTATTTTAGTACTAAGAATTAGAGGCTAAAACAATACTCTGTCGGGGCATGTTTTTATTTAGAGGTTGAGTGGGGAAGTGAGTTTTTCCCTTCTTGTGGGATTTATTTTGGACAAGAGTGGTTGTTCAAGTAATGTTCCAACAGAAGGTGGCAAAGGTGAATGAAACAATATCCGAGGACAAGTCTTTTTCATGTCTACTACGTTTAATCCACGAGATGTACTAGGCTTGTTCAATTCACAGGAGAAAAACACGAAAAAGGATTGGCCGGACACATGACTGGCAATGCTCTTTGTCCACCAAACATGCCCACAACTCCAACATATTAATTGCAGCTCCTTGCTTCTTGGCCTGAAAGCCAAAATGTATCTTTCAATGTGCTAAACCCACTGCCCAAAATTTCCTCACTGTGCTCGGCAAGTTTAATGACACCTTTCCTTCTGTTTTTCCTCGTCTTTGTCATCTCGGTGGGTGGGCAAGACTCAAGAGATAACTACCTTACTCTTCAAGTTAGAATGAAATCTGGCCTTCTTGGGCAGCTTTTTATAGCGTTTGTTTTCACCCCAATGGAAATTTAAAGCTTTGGTTGGCTTGTATTGGGCTTAAGTACAGGTAATGGCTTTCTGAATTTGGCCCATTTTAACACAATACTTGATCTAATTTCCCATTCCCATGACCTCAATCCAATTGTTACCACTGTGTCGCCTCTTATTGTTATTGTTCTTGTACTGTTGATTATTAAAATTAAGACAATGACAAGGCTCCCCCAATGTACTTTGACAATTATTTATAGAATATTGTAGACGTTAGGTGTTTATTGATTGTTATTGAGTGATTAGTCATAGTCTCTTTTTTCATTCCCAAAGTTAAAGCTCAAAGACAATGAACATTGACTAGACATCTAATAAGCTTCATTACCAATAAAGATGAGACCAAACAATCGTTTTGTTTTTTATTTTTAATTTCCAAAATTTTAACTTCTTGACGATTTGGTTATAAATCAAGGAGTCTTCTTCATTTGTCCTTTTTTTTAAAGACACAAATATCTCCTATGTTGATGAAGTTAAGATTTCATGTCTGGGATGAGAACAATGTTTATAAAATAATTATATTTAAAATTTAATGTTTATAGAGACAAAATTCTTTTTTTTAAGTAAATATAAAATTTTTAAAAAATTAAAACGTTTTGGGGACCGACCTATTAGTCCATTTCCCTCTGCCTCTGATCTCCTACATAGAGCCACTGTCCTCAAATTTGGGCTTTTTTGATATTTAAGGCAAAAATAAAAGAATGTAACAGAGTTACATATTAATCTCAATACTATGAACAAAATATAAAATTTAGTTTAGTTTTTGCAAAAAAAAAATTAATAGACATAGAATTGAAATATTGTAAAATTACATTAAATCGTCATGCTTGTTAAGCTTTTTTCATTTTCTAATAAAAAAAATGCTTGCATGTGCTTGAACACTAAAAACGAAAAAATATAGGTACATACACATATGCAAGTTGTTGCATTTATCAGAATTAATATGTAGAACGGAGATAGAATACAACAAAAACTTATTGACATAAATAAATACAATTTTATAGTTTTAACAAAGTTAGAGTTATACTACAAAGTAAAAATCCATCTCAATTATTGGAAGGTAAATGGTAAATTGAATAATCGCAAAATGCATCTTCATGCTGTATTTTTTTTTTTAATATTGCAGTTAAAAACAAGTAAAAATTTGATTTACAAGCAAAGTAAATACAAGTTTTAATAATAAAATTTAAAATAATTTTCTTAATAAATGATCTGATAATATTTATTAATTCAAATTAATTTAATATTATATTAAAATTTTAAAACATATAAAATAAAATGATCCATAAAACACCTTTTTCGATATTGACCTGACAAAATAAAAAAAAAAGACAGCAATTATTGAAAGAGATTTCCAATAACCAAAATAAGGAAATCTCTAACAAAAAGTTAGCATAGTGGTATGGAAAAAGTGCGTCCTTTCAGCGATACAAAATTTTCCGTGCCTTTTGCCCTTTTCTCCACTGCATGTCTGCCACGTTGCCCATCTTTCCAGGTGGTTTTATTTTTAACGTTTTCTGCCACGTGATGCTATCTTTTCCTCCCTTCAAAGACCCTACTACCTCCCTAGGAGGCTTGGACCCCACCAAACCCCCCACGCCACCTCTCCCAACCCAAATTCCCCATTTATTTTCACTCCCCAAAAATCTGACACTTAGATTACGGCAGCTGTAAATTTTATTTTACCCTCCCGATTTCATCCAATTCACACGTAGTAATATTCCTGTTCTTCAGTAAGATAATTACATTTAGATTATATACCATTACTTAATAATTTATTTATATATTAAAAATTGGGTATTGGAATTTAAGACTTTCCCTTGTTAAGGAGAAAAAAAATTAATTTTTAAAAAGATTATAAATATTTATTAAGTAAAGGCAATAACTTTAATTAGTATATTTAAGGTAATACCCAATTCCCTCTTAAAAGATTGATGAAGTGATGCCAAAGGCCCAGGTTGTGACAGGGAGGTGAGTCGGACAGGTTCTGCATATTATTCATTAAGTAAAGCAACTTTATACAAAATATATAAGTTAAAGCTAATAACAACGAATCTTAAAATATCTGAGCTCAATTTATGTCTATCTTTACTGTTTGGACCTGTTTGCATATGTCATGAGCAAACAATTTCTTTTGTTTTTTCGCAAATGGGTTGAAAGAACCATCTTCCAAATTCTTCAAGCACTCATTAGGAAAATGAATAAGTAAGTAAATAAATTCCCATAAAAATAGATAATTTCATATTCAATGTAAGGATATTTTCTTAGAGCATATTACCATAAAAGCACCTTCGTTATATAAGGAAATATATGGTGTTATATATGGCATTAATTTTAAAAAAAGGCAATGTTGATTGGTTATTTGGATTTTTTCCTGTAAAATATTATTATTATTGGTCAGTTGAATTTTCATGATTTCAACAAAAGAAGGCAACAGTTAAACGAAATTATAACATTTCCATATATATATATATATGTATAGTAAGATAATGATAATAATGTAATTTACATACATAAATTTTCTACTTAATTATTTCATAGTGAAAAGTAAAAACTTATAAAATAATACGACATAAAGCTAAAAAAAAGCTTATTAAATCATTCAAATAAATTAAAATAATTTTTTTGTTGTATTTAATAAAATTTTTATATTTTTATTTTGAATCAAATAAATTTTTGTAATTAATAATTCATTAATTAATTATTAATCAAAATATTATTTATTATTTTATATCTATATAGCACTGATATAATGTTAATGTGAAAAGCGAAAATATCACATAATCATGTTATAATGTTAAATTAGTATGTCACGTTATTATCAAATAAAATATATCAACATGCTATATCATCATTAATTATGATATATTAGCATATTACGTCAAGACAATGTAATATGGAATGATAAATGATATTTTACTTAAGTTAATTATTAGTCATAAAATTTTATTTGATTCAAAATAAAAATATAAAAATATAAAAACTTAATTAAATATAATAAAGATATAAAAAATTATTCTAATATAATTTAAGGACTTATTTACCTGTTTTGCCAAATAATACAGAAGGGCATAAAGTGTTCCAGATTAAAAAAAAAAAAAGCCAATACCAGAGTGGTAAATAAAGAGGAGAATAGGGGCAGTTTAATGTTCTGTGCGACAGGAAGGAAAAGAAAATTGTATTTGTTTTTAAACTCCTAGGCATTGCTCTTGGTCATCTACCTCTTGAACTGGGTGTGATTTTTGTCCTTGGGGTAGTTGAATTGAGGATACAAACCGGCGGCGTCTTTATCTCTTTTTTTCTTTTTGCTCTTTTTACAAAAAGCCCGATTTCCATGTTGTTTTGCGCCTGGTTCTTCTTTTATTTGCACTTTTGCCCTCTATTCTCTTGAGCCAGGTTTCACTGTGAGAGTCTCAAT